AAAATTCTATATGTAATGCCCGCCAATTTTTACTATGATGCTTATATGATGCTTATACCCTTTAATGGTGAATCACCGCTTAATTATTATAATGTTTTCATGGAAATCATTGTTTATTTTATTGTTTTTACTTTTTTCCAATTATAAACAAAGACCTGCGTTAAGGATGTTGTTCTACCTAATAATATTTCATTTTATGCTGGAGAACACGTGGAATATAATCTCTATATAATGGGGAGAGATGAAAAAATCTGGGGAAAAGATGCAAAACAATTTGATCCTAAAAGATTTTTAAATTCAGAGGATGGTTTAAGGCCAAATAGATTCAAGTTTGCTGCTTTTCATGCTGGACCTAGAAATTGGTTAGTATTACTTAGAATAATATTGTACATGATTTCATTTTATATATAGTAACTTTTTAATAATTATAGCGTGGGAGAGCAATTTGCAACTTTGGAAGCAGTAATGCTTACAATATTGATTTTGAAAGAATTTAAATTTGAGTTAATGCCTGGGCAAAAATCACCACCGGAATTTAAAGATGCTATGTTATTAGTTATGAAGGATCCTTTAATGACTAAAGTATCTTATAGAACTAAAAAATCTTCATAAATATAACCAGCAGCATCCTTTATAGCAAGCCTCTCAATAACGAACTCTGGATATAATGAATTAAAATCTTAAATATTATGACATCCAAACTTATATTTTCGGTTTTCATATCACCAACTGACCACTTGCGACCACCAACCCGGATTTTAATTTTTTTTGAAAAAAATTTTTGTTTGTGCATTTATCATCTCAACCTGGACACCAGTAAAAAATTTTATATGTAAAAAAAATTTTCTATATGGTCATAAAAACTTATATTATCTGTTTTCATATCGCTAACTATCCTTAATGATCCGGTGACAGATTTTAAATTTTTTTTTTTATTAATAAAAAATTTTATTTAAAAGTTTAATTTCTTATTAAAATGCGAACGAATTCGGGGCATGATTTATCACTTTACAAAGTTAAAGACATTTTACATAGTATAAAATAAATTAGGGTACCTAGTTATGCAATGCGATGTATTGTCTTCTATATATTATTGTGAGTGGACGGAAATATGCGATGTGCATATATGGTCACGTTTATGTATACCAAATCCAGAAATGCCAGAACGATCGAAACGTTTTTATAACAAACTCTAGGTCAGACATTACTAACCGTAAAGTTTTAAGCTTTATATTGTTCCTTTAAGTTTAGACACCGAGGGAAAACCAAACTTAGTCTATATAAAATTTATATGATCGAAGTCCGGATTTCCTTGGAGTCATTAATACATTATTTATTTCTCATTTAATTTATAATTATTCGTGTTGACATAGCTTATGATCTATTCATTTCTTATTTAATTACTTTTTATTTATAGTTAATAGGCGTTTATCAAAATATTATAATACTGTAATTTCAGTATAGTCGAAGTACTTAAAATAAATTATCCCTTAAACCGTTTTGCCTGCAAATTTGCCCCCAAAATTTTGAAATTCGATTTGTAATTCATGTAGTGCATGTAACACAGAAAATTTAAGGTTTTACCTATTTAATCCGAAAAATCCTGATTTTACTTATTTAGAATTATTCATTATTTTTTAGTTTACGTAACATATTGTTCTTTTTTTTTGGCAATTGTTC